TTCATGGAATTGTTGGGAGACGGCATGCGGGGAGGCGGGAGGGCTTCTCGCCGGGAGTCATGCAGCCTCCCACCGACCACGGCGCACGCTGGTCTGACCGGTCCTTTTCCTGCCCTGACCTCGGGCTTCATCCAGGTGGCAGGGGCTGGGTCACCGGGCACGCAGATGGGAGCCTTCTGGAATTGTTGGGAGACAGCATGCGGTGAGGCGGGAGGGCTTCTCGCCGGGAGTCATGCAGCCTCCCACCAACCACGGCGCACTCTGGTCTGAGCGGTCCTTTTCCTGTGCCTCCTTCCAGCCCCTGGGAATGCTGGATTCCAGGTTTCCTTCTCAAGGAAAGATGGGAGAGTCCTCGTTTTGTTTTGTATTTTTTGCCAAGATTAAAAAGGCCTTCCAGTTCAACTCCTAGACACGGAGGTTCAGAGAGTGGCAGGACTGGGGCTGAGGCCAGATTTCAGATCTGCCTCCTCCCACAAAGCCCTCCCTAGTCTCAGAACGACAAGGCATTGAATCTCACAGCCTGGGGTGTGGCTGGGGGGGTCATGTCTGGGTCTCTGTTTCAGCGACGTGGCTGTGGAACTGCCCTTCACTCTAATGCACCCCAAGCCCAAAGAGGAGCCCCCCCATCGGGAAGGTGAGCAGCATGTGTGGGCTACTGGGCGGGAGACCCCTCCTTCCCCTCCCTGCAGGGTAGCTTTCACCGGTGTCACCTTTTCCAGCTTCCCGTGATCTTTCGTGGGGCCCACACCCCGTTTGCTCTGACAGTACAAGGAGACAGTGAAGCCCAGCTCATGTTCCCCATGAGAGACAGAGGCTGGGGGTGGAAGATGGAGCTCTCTGGCCACGCTTTGAGCTCCTAGCTTGCACCAGGGCTGGTGGGGTTCCACATGGGAGGAGGGGAAGGGGCTGCATGAATAAGGTGGCCCCTGGATACACCAGTCCCATCATTTTTTCCCACGATACTGGTACTAGATTAGTCATATTTCACTGGATCTAAGACCGTTTCGGGTGAAAGAGACAGCATTATAGTATGACTACCAAGAAAGACGATGCTCCCTCAGTTAAACTGTGATGTCATGGATCATAACACACACCGCAAGTTCAGAGATGTTCAGCGTGAACACAAATGGTGGCCTTAGAGTTAGTCAATGTCACATATGTAGGAAACGAATCTCAGTCATGCTGGAGGTTTGTCAAAAGGCACAGGGACTCCGGGGCTTTCCTGCTCTGGGGGCCGTGGGCTCCAGGCCTTCCCCACCTTTACAATGGTTGTGGGTGTTTCAGGGCCAGGGATGAGCCCCCCTTCTCCATCTCCCTTCTTCCTTCACCCTCCCCATCCCAATCTGGTCATCTTGGGGTGGGGGCCTGTGTCCACTCGTCCTCACACCTACCTACTCACTAACCCCCAGGCACCCTGCCCACCCTGTGTTTAGTTCCAGAGAACGAGGCTCCAGTAGATACCAATCTCATAGAACTTGACACGAAGTAAGCCAAATCCCATGGGCGGATGTCTGGGGAGTGGGGGCGGGGGGTCATATATTCTTATTAACCCCTGAGGAGCAGCTGGTCTAACCCCGTCTGCTGAGAGCCACCTCTGCTCGCCTCTTCAGCAATCCGCTTGCCTGCATGTGATTTGAAGGACCCTCCGTGCCTGTTCCTCTTCCTCCTGCCTTGGTGGGGTCTGTCTTCCTCCCTCGTCCTTGCACGTCCGTCCGTCCGTCAGTGCGTCCATCCGTCCACCAGCGCCTGCTCGGCTCACACAGGGCTGGTTGGTGGCCCTGGGCTCGCTCTCCTGCCCTGCCTGCACGCACCCTGTGAACCAGGCTGTGGGGTGGGAAGGGTCTGGGGGCTTGTTGCTTCTGACTCCAGAGGTCCCACTGATGCAGATCCCCTGCAATCAAAAGCCATTGTATCCACAGACAGGGCCAGAGTGGAAGTGCTAGCCACCCCTGGGGGGCCAAGTGGCTTTCTGCAAAAGCCACCCTTCCCTTGACCCCCAGAGAGATCTGGGATTAGGGTCTCAAGTCACCCCATGAGGATGGCCCATTGCTGCTGTCTGAATTCAGTGGAGAGGGAGACTTCCGCGGAACTCTGTGTGGTCCTAAATAGACATGTTTTAAGCTGGAAGCGAACTTACTGTTCTTAGAGGCAGTTCTTGGCTGGGAAATACTCAGGCGCCCCCTGTGCCCATACACTCTCCTCTGCCACCCTCTCTTCCCTCCCCTCTCCCATTAGGAAGCTCCACTAGAATGTGAGCAGCCTCTTCCTGGAGAAGAGGCTTTGTGGCTTTTCTATTCCATTAGGCCAGACCTGCTCCTTCCTGTCCAGAAACAGGGTTACTTCCTAAGTAGTTTTTTGGGTGGGCAGGTGGGGTTTCTTGGGCTGTTCTCGGGGGATTCAGAATGTTCCATGAAAGTACTGGTGGCCTGGCCTCCACCAGGGCGGGGGGGGCGGGGGGGGGGTCATATATTCTTATTAACCCCTGAGGAGCAGCTGGTCTAACCCCGTCTGCTGAGAGCCACCTCTGCTCGCCTCTTCAGCAATCCGCTTGCCTGCATGTGATTTGAAGGACCCTCCGTGCCTGTTCCTCTTCCTCCTGCCTTGGTGGGGTCTGTCTTCCTCCCTCGTCCTTGCACGTCCGTCCGTCCGTCAGTGCGTCCATCCGTCCACCAGCGCCTGCTCGGCTCACACAGGGCTGGTTGGTGGCCCTGGGCTCGCTCTCCTGCCCTGCCTGCACGTACCCTGTGAACCAGGCTGTGGGGTGGGAAGGGTCTGGGGCTTGTTGCTTCTGACTCCAGAGGTCCCACTGATGCAGATCCCCTGCAATCAAAAGCCATTGTATCCACAGACAGGGCCAGAGTGGAAGTGCTAGCCACCCCTGGGGGGCCAAGTGGCTTTCTGCAAAAGCCACCCTTCCCTTGACCCCCAGAGAGATCTGGGATTAGGGTCTCAAGTCACCCCATGAGGATGGCCCATTGCTGCTGTCTGAATTCAGTGGAGAGGGAGACTTCCGTGGAACTCTGTGTGGTCCTAAATAGACATGTTTTAAGCTGGAAGCGAACTTACTGTTCTTAGAGGCAGTTCTTGGCTGGGAAATACTCAGGCGCCCCCTGTGCCCATACACTCTCCTCTGCCACCCTCTCTTCCCTCCCCTCTCCCATTAGGAAGCTCCACTAGAATGTGAGCAGCCTCTTCCTGGAGAAGAGGCTTTGTGGCTTTTCTATTCCATTAGGCCAGACCTGCTCCTTCCTGTCCAGAAACAGGGTTACTTCCTAAGTAGTTTTTTGGGTGGGCAGGTGGGGTTTCTTGGGCTGTTCTCGGGGGATTCAGAATGTTCCATGAAAGTACTGGTGGCCTGGCCTCCACCAAGGGAATGATACTTCCTCGGGCCACAGAACCATACTGCCCCCCACTTGACATACCCCTGACTCCTCCAGAGCTTGGTTACTGCTCCAGCCCTCAGCATGGGAGCCCAACTCTGCCCCCTCTGGCATTTTCACAACTGCCTTGAGCCCAGAGTCTAGATGTAACAGTCTCCACAGCCACGGGTGGGCGTCCGCATGTGCCCGCAGCAGGCCTCTGCCCAGGGTCAGCTCTGGAGGCCAGACCTGGGGGGCTGCAGTCCTGAGCACCGTCTGGCCAGCCGCTGAATGTGCCTGTTGTCCCTGCCCTGCAAACACGCCGCCTCTCCTCGTGTCTCCCACTAGTGACGACGACATTGTGTTTGAGGACTTTGCCCGCCAGAGACTGAAAGGCATGAAGGATGACAAGGAGGAGGAGGAGGATGGCACCGGCTCTCCGCAGCTCAATGACAGATAGACGCCGCCCTCCCCAGCGGCCCCAGGTCGACTCTCCTGCACTAGGGTGCTTCCTCATCTCCTTCCTGTCCTGGTTTCCCCTCCCTTTGTCTGTCCAGTTTCTACCAGGGGGCCCCAGTGGTCTCCCAGGTCACAGTGATGAGCCTCCGGCCAGGGTTGGCCCCACATCACCTGCCAGCAGGACCAGTGTGCCGCCTTCACCCCGATCTCTGCAGTCGCCTCCACACCCCCATGCTGACTCCCCCGATGGCCACCACACCTCCGGCCTTGGAATTTGACTCAAAATGGGGAGCAGAAGGGGAGGATGGAGCATGAGGGGTGCGATGATGGGGGGGCGTGAGGGCTCCGAGGGTGAGGATGAGGGTCAGGGCACAGAAGATGGCTGCAGTCCTGGCTCTGGCAGCTAAAGGTGTCTGCATTGAAGCCCAGGCCCCCAACCGATGGCGAGATCTCAATGCCTTTTCATAATTTGGACCCACCAAAGACTCCTCCCCATCCACCCCTGTCCCCATCCCTGTGTCTGATAGTGACATTGGCGAAGGTCTCCCGGGAATGGAGAACAGCCAGTGGGCTGACTTTCTCACCAGCAGTTACCTAGACTAAGGCAAGCTGTGGGAATGAGCCCGTATACTCCAGCACTGTCGGGATATGCCATCTCAGCTGCTCTGCATTTACGTGTTCGGACCTATCTGTATATATGTGTACAGGTGGGCAGAGTGGGGAGAGAGCCTTCAGCAAGCACCAGCCCCAGCAGAGTGAAATGCTTCCGGGGAGGTTTCCTGAAGTGGGGGCTCAATGGTGGCGATGGGGGAGATGAGAATCTGCCCTGTCCTTCCCTCTGTGAACTTAGGCCAATTACTCAGGGGAGCAAGGCTGGTGGCCCTTGTGGGTGGAGGCATCTCCCTACAGTCCTCTCTGTCAGGCCCTACAGGCTGAGCAGAGTTCCTTCTGCAGGGGAGGCAGGGGCCATTGAGATGCCTTCACCTAAAGGGAAGGAGGCCGTGGGGCGCCATGGATGCCCTTCTTACTTTGGAGAGTTGATGATCCCCTGCAGTTCCCATCAGCTGGTGTCGGTGTGATAGGTTGACAGGTGATGAGGTAGAAAGTGTTAAGAGGTGACTTTCTTGTCTGACCTTTGATGCTAGCTTGCTGTATGACCTTGAGCAAGTTCTTTCCCCTCTCTGAACCCCAGTTCTCACCTGGAAAACCATGGAATTTGACCAGATGCTCACAGAAGGCTCTCTCAACTCTGGCCTCCAATAATTTGTGAACTTTAGAGCTTCTGGTCTGGTAGGCAGAGCCAAAGCTGTTGACCAGCCAGACGGATTCATTGGACCTTGAGTGGCAGGGCCCTGCAGAGTGCCTTGTACATTCCCCAGGCCTGGGAAGGGGCCTCCTTGGGCCCTAGGGGTCACTTGTCTGCTGAGGCTTAGATGGAGGCTTGTGATAAGGCCTGCAGTACCTCCTGCCCCTGTGAATGTGGACCCCTGAGGTTTCCCAAGCAGATGTCCTGGTTAGCAGGGCAAGGGGATCTTGACTTATTTTCTGCTCCTTTCCATTTCTGTCCCAGGCTTGCCCGAAGAGTGGGACAACGCAGTTTTATTACACAGGTTGGATGGCCATGCTTTCCAGCCCACGCCTCCTGGAATGGGCTGTGCAACTCTTTTTTGTGGGGAGATTAGCTCACAAGCCTGGCTCTGCGCCCTCAGAATCTCACTAGCACTCACCCAGAGGACCCCTAGCCAGGTTAGAATCAAGTCAGCCACATGCCCTGGCCAGCCCTGAGGTCCTGGCTGCAGGTGTCCAGCCCCTATCAGAGCTGGCTGGGCAATTTACACTCATCTGGGCAGCCATGGAGTTGATGAATGCTGGATCAACTCCTGGCAAGCAGATGTTCTCCGGTGTCTTCCTCTGCAGTTTTCAGGGCTGATAAGACCCTTTGGCATTTGGACTAACCATTCCCCTCAAGCCTCTTCCCCTGTCCCTAACACATGCACCCAAAATGTTTCAGGCTAGTTCCTGGAGTTTCTTCCACCTCACCTCATGCTCACCTTTGGCACCATCCAGGACTGTCTGTCCAACCCTGCTTGAAGAGGACTGTCTTCTTGCTCCTTGAGCCAGGAGGCATAGGGCTAAGGTCAGGAGTCGGGAATTGACCTCGCCATCCTTTCCAACGATTTCTCTTTCTGTGCCCAGCACTAGAGATATCAAGATGGCTGTTCTGGCTCCTGTCCTCGGGGAGTCTGTGGTCAGGGGAAAGTTAGGGCAAGTAAGGGGGTGGGGCCATGGCTCTCAGGGCACTGTGGTTGCTGCTCTCCATGCAGCCAGGCAGGGGTCCCAGCCCCACACGGCGTGCACAGCTGTGTGAGTGGTGCACAGGTTGGATTTCAGCGCTGCTTGCCCCTTAGCCAGGCACCCTCCTCCACAGCCTCATGCTACAGCCCTATGGGACGTGCTGGCCAGAGTGTTTCCTTGGGCTTCTTCTGGAAGAGGAAGGGCCCAGGTCATCCTTCCAGGCCCCTGATCATCTCATCCCCCTAGTCTAGCCTCTAACTTGGCCAAGTGCTTCTCTGCAGGGTCCCTCTCCATTCTGTCCAGGTGAGATCCTGGAGTGAAGTGGGGGTGGGGAGCCTCACTAGGCCCCAGGCACCAGCCCACAGTATTGATTCTTCTGTGCCAAGCATTTGGGACTTTCCAATGGGCCTTGGAGGTGGCATAGAGAGACCAGTCTAGGTAGGAAGGAGGAGAATGCCTGGGGTGGAAGTCCACCACGCAGAGGGCCAGCTGGACTCTCTTGGCATTTCAAGCAAGGGCAGAATTCAATCCCATGAAGATAAAGACTGAGCTGTTTTGCTGCATCCCTGGACCTCCTTAGCCTCAAAACCTAGGGAGGTTGGAGTGTGGCCTCGGTGGGGAAATTTGCTGACATGCTGGTTTCCACATGATATGGTGAAAGGAACCCTGTCCTGGAAGTCCCTAGTGCTGCCTCAGTCCTGCTGTCACCAACCAGGTAGGTGGCCTTGGGCAGGTCATTGGCTCAGTTCGTTTAACTGTAAAATGGAACCATGACCCCTTCCCTGCCTGACTCAGGAATTGTAAGGCCCAGATGAGAAGGTATGTGCTGAGTGTTCAGTGCATTGCAGATGGCCGCACGGGGCTCGGGGGTGTGGTCCAAGGTCATGGGCAGCTGGCTGCAGGCTGAGCCCTCCTCCCACCAGTCTTTGTTTCTTGCCCCTCTGCTCCGGCAGATGTCAACCAGAACCAATTTAGCTCTGGTGACCCAGCCGAGAAGGAAATTCAGACACTATTCAGAAAGACCATGCCCAAGAGCAGTGGTCCCAGAAACCAGGACAGAAAGAGAACATGGATATTGTCAGTGATCAGGGATATCTTGGCCCGCTCCTCTCCCCCAGACTGGTGTCACCCAAGTCTTCCACTTCAGATGCCAAGAATGAGCTCTGACCCTGAGTTAGGGAGAGCCACTAGCCCCAAGGCCCAAGAAACTGATTCAACCACTGCAACATTGAAGACACCCACGGGTGTGTGGAGAGGAATTGCCTGCTCTTCCCTTCAAAGTATGAAGCCCCACCCAGGATCATGCAGCCACCACAGCTTCTTTGCAACACTTGCAAAGGCTTTGGGCCCAGAGAAAATTTGGAAGCTGAGCCCTCACTGCTCCATTCTCCAGGGGGGTTCATAGCCTAGGATTTGGGGACTGGACCTTCTCTACCCATCTGGAGGAAGTGGTTGGACCCCAATCTTGAACTCTTCTGGGGTCTGAAGAGCAGAGGCCTCTGTTCTGATATTTCTTTCTAAGCTCATAAGGACCAAAAGCAGGCTCTACCTTCATTCACACAACCCATGTTGGGCCTGAGATAGTGCCATCCCAGCCCAGGCAGCTTCAGCAAGAGGCCCTGCTGAAGGTGGAGCATCCTCCCCATCACTCTTCCAACTCATCATCCCAAAAGGGAAGTCAAAGCACAGGTCCCCAGGACCCATAATCTGTAGATGCTCTGATATAGTGGTTCGCAAACCAGGTGCCGTGGAACCCCTTGTGTTCCATAGAGCTTTGTCAGGGGCTGCTAAGGTGGGAAAATGGGGTGGAGGCAAAGGCTAGGTCTCTAGCCCTCTCCCCATTCCCACTTCCACCAGAACAACTCTGCTTTTATCTGTCTTGCCTCCTGAGGTTTCACTTTCAAACTTTCTTTTGAAAAGAACACATCAAACCACTGTTCTGAGGTTTGATCTTAGACCAGCAAGCACAGGTTTATTCTTGCTTTTCACATTGGAATGACTCCAGCACTCCAGTACGAAGTATCTGTATTGGAACTTGGTCACAGACCCAGGCCCAAACATTTGCTTATAGACACACAGACATGCACACATGCACATTGGGGGTTTTCTGGCCAACCCTCTGAAGCTCTGGCCTGCGTTTGGTTTAGGTAGGGCCTGGTGCTCAAGGAGAATGCATTTGACCCTGGCATTGGCCCATATAGCCTGGGAAGCCATGGAGTGAGGAGACATCCCTCCATCCCCCAGGACTTGTGTCTGCACCCCGTGTGACACCCCACTTCCCTGGCTCAGCTCATGGCACAACAGGGACAATTGGGGACGGGGTGAGTCAGACTCATCCTTTCATGCAAAGCAATGGGTGAGAATTCAGTTTGCATTGAAACAGGTCAATAGAGAACTTTACGGCAACAGTCTCTCTTCTGAGGGCCAGATGGCTCCAGATCCCTTCTCAGCAGCAAGTTCCCCTTGGAATTCTAGTAGGAATCTACTTCCACCTTTGTGGACAACCAAGTGTGTGGATAATAGGAGACTCTCCTGCCCTGAAAGAGGCTGCTCCCTACCCACAATCCCCTGAATTCACTCCTCACCTGCCTGCCTCTCTGCCTGAGCCCCTCACCAGGGCTCACTGGCTGGTGGGCATTCTGGTGAGATATGGGTCAGCTGTTGGCATAGAATCCTGCCAGGACACCCCCACCCATGGCATTCTAACTGTACATGTGCCACTCAGGACACAGCAAGCTACAGCATGAGGAAAGAGAGACAATGGTATATTATGTTCAGTTTGGGTGTGACCTCGGTTTCCCCATGTGCAAAATGGGGCCAGTGCCAGGCCCTGCCCATCCATAGGACTATTGCAAGAGTCCCTAGGAGATGTGGATAAGAGAGGTGGTCATACAAGGTGCTGGCTTGTGTCGGGGTGGTGCCTGGCAAATGGGGTAAGGTCCTGGCCTGCACCACACCTCAGCAGAATGTTTGGCAGCGGGAGTGTAGGCCATGCCGTCTTCCTGGGCCCTCTGCTCAGAGCTGAGGTCTAGCCTCAACCCTGGGCGGCCTGTTTCCCTACTGAGTGGGAGCCAGTGTGTGTGTGTTTCCTGCGCGTGGGGAGTGACAGTGGCTGGGATGTGTCTCCCGGTGTGTGGCCTTCTGTTATGTGATTATTTTGTGACATTCTCATTCCTGGACCACCTGCCAGGTTTCTCTGTTGTACCTGTGGCATTCCTTAATAAGAATAAGATAAGTTATTCTAGTTGATTTAACTCCAACAAGAGAAACAATGAACCCTAAGTAGGAGGCCATTAAAAGTCTGTGGTGACAGAGGGTGCTGGCTGTGCTTTTCTTTCTGTCTCATAAGCCCCTCCAGTGATGCAGACTGAGAAACTGCCCTGGGTTGGCACTGGGGGCCCATGGCTGGATTGAGTGCTTCCTTCCTGTCTGTGGCCCCACCTCTAGCCTGGTCCTTGAGTCTTCTTCCAGAAACGACCAAGAACTTTCCTCCAGCCACTTTCCTGCTATTTTCCAACTTGATGGCCCTCGGGAAGTTGCCCAACCTCTGTTCCCTCTCAGATGTCCCTGGAGTGAAATCATTTTCTCTTCTGTCTTTAGCACTACCAACGACATCAGCTGGAGTCCAACTGGAGCCCAGTCCTAGCCCTGGTTCTTATTGGGTTCTCATCTCCTGCTGTACTGGTCATTCTTGGAGTCACTTTAGTTTTCTCAGACTTACCTGCCATTGGTCTAACCGAATGCAGGGGGGGGGAGCAGGGATACTGGTGCGGAAGCATTGGTGTCCTCATAGATGATGCGCTACATGAGCTCAGAAGGAAATGCTCATGAATACGAGAGAACTTTCCTAGGAAGTGCTCTTCTCTGCAACAAGAGCATTCCTATATATAGCATGCAACTTGGATCAAAGTGTGTCCCTCTTTGTAGGACAGAGGCAGCCTATCCCTCTTGTGCCCCCTTTCAGCCAGTGGGATGACATTAACATTTAAATCAGAAGGCTTGAGCTGGAGGGCGGTTTTGCTTCCTTCCCATGTAGACAGTTTCCTTCAGAGTCAAGATGAACAGAGTTGATGGGAATGTAAAGTGAGAAATCAGTTAGTAAAATGTTGAAAGAGATGAAAAGGCAACAGAAGGTGAGGCAACCAAAAGATCTGGCACAGTGGGAGCCCTTTATGAAGCCCAGGGTAGAGGGATGAGAAGAGAAAATGAGGAACCAGGGCAACACAGCAGGGCCATCAAGGGAGAGGAGATCAAAAGAAGCCAGAACTACAGAAGAAATGCAGGCATTGCTGAGGATGATGCCCAAAGCAGAGAGTGGGAGAATTACTCTAACTTCTCCTTTCCTCCTGCCCGTTGACTTTGTGCCAGTGTCCCCTACTGGCAGAATTCAATGAAATGCTGACTTTCAAGGAATTGTGGAGAATGCAGTTTGCAAGGGACAGTGTTCTGCATTACAAAGCAAGAGATGGTCAGGGGACTAGATCTGAGACCAAATAGGTGAATGGCCAGCCTGCTCTTACTCTTCTCATCCAAAACCAGAAATACTTAGATTGGCTTGGTTACCATGATATAAAGGAAGGCTCTGATATTTTGAAAGGATTCTAAATGTGGGAGAGACATCTACTGTTTCTTTTAGCTTTCAACTTTTCTATGGCTGTCACTGTCCATGCTGTGCTTTGGAGATTTATTTCTCTTAGTTTTTTTTTTTTTAAACTCCAGCAAGGCAAAAGAAACTGAGTAGGAGGTTCAAATTCTGGCTGAGATGGAGTAAATCCACTACAACCTATGCCTCTTATTGATTATACTAAAATCTCTGGACAATACAAAACACAACTACCTAATGACTAAAATTTAAATGAATTAGGTAGGTCCAGGAGAGTCAAAATTTAGAGAGGTAATTTCCATGAGGAGAGTTTCCCCTTATTCTCTTTTTCCTTGTGACTTTGCACTGCAGTTAAAACTACCACCCACAGAAGGTGGAACAGGGTCTGAACATAAGGTGGTTGATCGCCTCCTGAAACAACAACAAAGCCAGCATTTTCCTAAAGGATTATAATGGGACCCAAAGTCTATACAATATGACATTCACAATGTCCAAGACACAACTTGAAATTACTTGATACTCAAAGAATTTTAAAAATGTGATCAATTCTGAAGGAAAAATAAATCAATACATGCCAACTTTGAAACGTTAGAAGTGACTATTATAACTTGAAATGGGTGGAAAGATAGTTATTCTCAGCAGATATTTAGAAACTAAAGAAAGAACCTAAATGGAAATTTAGAACCAAAAAATACAATATCCGAAATAAGTTCACTGAACGGGCTCAGTAGTAGAATGGAGGTGGCAGAGGAAAGAGTCAATAAATGTGAAGATAGATCAATAGAAATTGCTTTATCTGAAAAACAGAGAAAATAATTGAAAAAGTTTTCACAGAGCCTCCGGGACCTGTGGAGCAAGATCATATGGTCTTGAGATTCATATAAATGGGCTCTTGGAAGGGAGGAAAAAGAAATTGGTATAGAAAAACTATTTGAGGAAATAATGGCCACTAACACACAAACTTCGGTGAAACACAAAATTTATAGATTCAAGAAGCTGACAATCCACCCTTCAGCTTGGGTCCATACCATAACATAGAAGTTAAACCCTGTGCATTAGGACCTGGATCCCACATGGCTGACTGGAGATCAAATCCCAGCCCTGGGAGCTTGAGAAACATGCCGAATGTATGTGTGCACAAAATATCAACAGGAAGGAGAAACCAACAGTTAGCATAATGGCTATGTCACTGGACTCCCATGTAGTTGACCGTGGTTCGAGTCCCGGACCTGGTGGCTTAAACTCACGCTGGGCGTGTGTGTGTGCATGTCCAAGATCCCAAGAGGCGATTGGAGGAGAAGGGATTGCGGTGTGGACATTTCCCCTGGGGGGTGATTTGTTGCTTTCTGTCTCTCTCTGTCTTCCTGGTGAGCGCACGCGCCCTATAGCAAAAACCTCTCAAAAAAAAAAAAATCAACAGGAAGGAAAAATGAAAAAGAATCGCAGCATTATCACTGGGTGGGGCAGATGTTTTTTTTTCTTCTCTCTCTCTATGGCAAGCACACCTGTTCTCCAGCAACTAAAAAAAATTAAAAAAAAAATAATAAGGGAACCAGCAGTTAGCGTAATGGCTATGTTGCTGGACTCTCACGTAGGCTATGTTGCTGGACTCTCACGTAGTCGACCGTAGTTCGCGTCCCAGACCCGGTGGCTTAAAACTCACGCCGGGCGCGTGTGCGTGCGTGCCCAAGATCCCGAGAGGAGAATGGAGGAGAAGGGATTGCGGCATGACCATCCCTCCTGGGGGTGATTTCTCGCTTTCTGTCTCTCTGTCTCTCTGTCTCTGTCTGGCTGGTGAGCTCATGTGTCCTATAGCAAAAACCTCTCCAAAAAAAATAAATAAATCGCCTCCTGAAACAACAACAAAGCCAGCATTTTCCTAAAGGATTATAATGGGACCCAAAGTCTATACAATATGACATTCACAATGTCCAAGACACAACTTGAAATTACTTGATACTCAAAGAATTTTAAAAATGTGATCAATTCTGAAGGAAAAATAAATCAATACATGCCAACTTTGAAACGTTAGAAGTGACTATTATAACTTGAAATGGGTGGAAAGATAGTTATTCTCAGCAGATATTTAGAAACTAAAGAAAGAACCTAAATGGAAATTTAGAACCAAAAAATACAATATCCGAAATAAGTTCACTGAACGGGCTCAGTAGTAGAATGGAGGTGGCAGAGGAAAGAGTCAATAAATGTGAAGATAGATCAATAGAAATTGCTTTATCTGAAAAACAGAGAAAATAATTGAAAAAGTTTTCACAGAGCCTCCGGGACCTGTGGAGCAAGATCATATGGTCTTGAGATTCATATAAATGGGCTCTTGGAAGGGAGGAAAAAGAAATTGGTATAGAAAAACTATTTGAGGAAATAATGGCCACTAACACACAAACTTCGGTGAAACACAAAATTTATAGATTCAAGAAGCTGACAATCCACCCTTCAGCTTGGGTCCATACCATAACATAGAAGTTAAACCCTGTGCATTAGGACCTGGATCCCACATGGCTGACTGGAGATCAAATCCCAGCCCTGGGAGCTTGAGAAACATGCCGAATGTATGTGTGCACAAAATATCAACAGGAAGGAGAAACCAACAGTTAGCATAATGGCTATGTCACTGGACTCCCATGTAGTTGACCGTGGTTCGAGTCCCGGACCTGGTGGCTTACACTCACGCGGGGCGTCTGTGGGTGC